TGTTTTTTTTTTCTTTTCACTATATTTTTATCTTCTAAATGTCCTAATGCCCGTACTCCTCCACCCACTTCTGGATGGAGCCAAGAGTTCTGGTGTTGCCTTGTTCCCCTTTCTCACCTGACTAAGCTTTTCACCTCTCATCTGCTGCCCATTTGGACTTTAATGATCAGAAACTGTCTCAGCTCAAGGCCTCAAGAAGAAGATGTGCTGTTCTCCTAACCCTGCAGGCTGGATCCAAGGCCTACGTTCCCAGGCTTATCAGGATTATGAACTGCTGAACTACTGTGTCCACAGCCCACCTCCTGCCCTGTCGAGCTACATGAAAGTCCCAAGAGGACCCCCACGTTATTCTCCTCTTTGAGGGCAGGACCCAGCCTGAGTTCCCCCAGTGCTGCAGGTCACGATCAGGGGATGCACTCCTCTCAGGGCCCCCTCTTGACTTTGGTTACGCAACACCTCTTTCTGCAGTTTCATCATTTTATTCCTTCCTCTGAGTCTTCTCCCAGGTTGAAGTGCTCAAAACAATCTCTCTTTCCAGCTCCTAGATCCTTCTTCCTTCATTTCTTCAAGCAGCGTCAGCATCCCAGCTGTGTGATGACAGCCACCTGTACTCAAAGGATCAGAAGCAAAGCTTTCTTCTCTAACCAGTGCTCATAAGACTCGATTGCAATGGGTTTGATCCCACAAATGCTTACATACTGAGAAAAGAATAAGCTCCAAGTAAGCAACATGAAGGTCATAACAAGAGCAGCGGGAGCAAGAATGGAGAAGGAACTGATAGTCATGATCTTATGAAGACAGAACAGGTGGCCTCTGTCACTGGCTTGATGTGGAATGAGAGGAAGACGAGTCAAAGATAAGGCTGACTATTTTCATATCATGGCTCTCAGCTGTGCTGTGGGAACACAGGAGGAACTGGGAGTCGCAGGAGGAGTTCTGAAAGAAGGAACATTTACTTGTTTTCCTAGCATGTGCAAGAGAGGACAGGGCTCCTGCAGGGAACTGAGGAAGGTTCTCCATTGTGGAAGCTTAGGGTGCCAGTTGAGTGGGGCTGTCTGCATAGGGAGGAACCAGGAGAGAGCATTGCCCCACTCGGGGAGCTTTCCAGGACCCTCTAGGCTTCCCCACAATGACCCAGGGACTCAACTGTCTTTCTCTCCTCCCCAGACTATGACTATCCATTTCATGTTTTGGAGAATTTCTCTGTTTACGCCTGGCCATGCAGTAGGCCACTAGGTTCTGTGTCCCTACATTAACTTCTCAGTTTCAGGGGTTTGCTGAGAATCACTTCAAACACATGAACATTACAAGATTTTAAAAAATCTTACCGAGTTCTTATAATCCCTGGTCTAAGGAAACCAGCTACCTTCTTTCTACAGGTGACCATTAGAGCATCATGGTCAGGAGGTAGAACTCAGATGACATTGTTTAAATCTGGATTCTCCACTTGCTGGACATGTGACCCTGGACCCTGGGAGTGTGCTTTAACCTCTTTATCCTCAGTGTTTCTTTTCAGTAGAAAATAAAAAAAAATAGTATCTATCAAGAAGAATTGTGGGGACTAAATTAATACATATGAGCTATTTCGTTATTTTAAAATATACCTTTTGAGGAGGCCTGAAAGTGACATCAGTGGAAATGGCAGAGGAGGGAGGATAATCCGTCCACAGAAACGCTGACAAAAAGAGCAAGATTCATCACAATCAACTTTGTGCAAGGTTTACAGCAACCAAGAAAGTTCTGAATCAGAATAAGGCAGCTTAAATGTGGTAGGAAAAGTTTTGTGGCATTTTAAAAATAACTTAGCTTTTTTTCCAGCTTGTTCCCCACATTTACACACACACACACACACACGAAATAACAAGGGAGAATTTGCTCCAGTAACCTGGTCATATACAGTCTCTCTGAACACAGAGAAATTGTTTTTATAATCTGAAGGGATACATTTTAAAAGTTAGTCATAAACTCAGCAAAACAGAGGGCTAGATGCCACCTTGGGACTGCTGGTCTCTGAACATGACCTTCATGGACTGGTGAATTTACCATGGAAAGTAAGAGAGCAATCCCTTCTTCCTCCTAAGCTGAGGTCACCTTAGAAAGAGTTCTCCTGGTGATAGCTAGGTGTGTTGATACAGCATATTGAAAGTACAAGAGATTTTACCAGAGCTGTAAGCTGTAGTAGGAACGATGGATAGATTGTTAGTTACTTCTTCACTGTTGAGTCCTAGACCTACCTTCCTAGTTGCTCTAACATCTGTGTTACCTTCCCCAGCCCTCAGCATCATAGATATGAACTATCAAGGGAATTGTGGACATCCTGACCAATTCTTAGACTCCCAGAAAATCCTCAGGGCTGGCGAGTCTCAGGGTAGGAAAGAATACACACAGGAAGTCTCCCCAGAGACACTTCTTTCATGTTCTTTTTTAGATCTGCACATGTTATCTGAAGTTTTTCTGTTTTCACATCCCTTAGGAGGGTAGAACTTCTCAGTTTCATCTAGTTTCAATCACCCGGAACTGTGCTGTTTCCTTGCCTGAGATAAAAGAGACAGGATTTTCTGATCTGGCTGTTCCTTCAAAGCCTGATCTAGAAGAAACTGTTCTTTCCCTGCCAGATCACTGGTATAAATCCTATGGGTACTGGGAAGACCACAAGAGCCTAAGGCCATTGGCTGCATTTGAACAGTAACTGTGAGTCTCCATCCACTGACCTTCCTCATCACAAGTGGCATCTGCCTGAGCTGAAATCTCCTTCCTCAAATCCTGGTCCTCACCCCCAGCCCCATTAACCTATTCAAAGATGTCATAATGTGAAAATACCTCAATTACCAATGAATTTCAAGGTGTTTTACTATATTCACTGTGGAGAGTAAATCTGTTTCTTTTTAAAAATCATGGTAACTGACTGGAAAGTGAGTTTCCATTCAGGAAACATCATTTTTATTGTTTGGCATGGTACCATTAGAGACGCACACCAAAAATCCTAACCCATAATCTAAACATCTTTTAATCATATATGTAAAGACATGATTGAATACTTAGCTGGTCACTCTCAGAGTTGAGGAAAACCCTGGGCTACTCTTCTGGACTAAGTGTGCCTCCAGGACTCTGTGACGGACAGAGGGCGTCATAAATTAAGGAGCCATACAGACTCCAAATAAGGTTTGGAGCAACAGGCAAAAGAGATTCATTCCTGAATACTTCTAAGTCATGAGTCTGTAATTTATGCCACAAGAATAAGTATTTGGGGGTGCCCTAAGAGGGTAAGAAAAAAGATTAGGGGCACTGGGAGAAGGCACGGAATGGAGCCACGTAAGAGAAGCAGGGATTATGGGATACTAAGACTGGGAGTGAGAATTTCAGGGAAAAAAATAAGTCAATAAGATAGGGTTCAAATATAAGTGAGGAATTCAGGTGGATCAGTAAAGCTGGGGGGAGAAAATTTCTGCTTTAAGGGAAGTGGTATAATAATATCATCAGAGTGTTAGTGTCATCCAGGTGAGAAGACAGTCTCTGATGGGGCAGGGGAAGAAAATCTCTTCTTTCATGAGGGCTGCCATTAGTCAAAGAATTAAATATGGAATTCCTAGAAGGAAAGGAGGGAGGGGAGATCTCAAAAGGTCAAAGAAAGGAATGTAAAGATATAAGACAAGATGCTAAATTTCAGGGCATTGAAAGGAGGAAAAGGGACAGATCTGCTAGTGAATATGCAGAATAAAATTCAGTGATATCATCTGTGTGTGTGTGTGTGTGAGGGTGTACTGTGTGTGTGTGAGTAATACACGATTACTTCCTGGTGTTATTTCAAAGCTTCACCAGGGTACTAGGTGCCACAGGGAAGCAGTTAACTAGTTATGCCCTCTTCCTTCTTCTTCCCTGTATGGAAATGTCAGCTTGCTCTTTTGATATGTAGTAACAAACTCCAGTATATTCTGGAGAACATCTCTTCTGTACATCACTCTTGCTGTCTCTGCCTCTTCAGCCAACCTCTGGCTTTGACTACTGCCCCTCTTTGCTGTAGGACCTACACTGTGCTCTGTTGCAATCCTCCTAGTTGCTGTTTCTCTCCCCTGTATTGCTTTGCCCTAAGATGGGCACAGACCCTTCCCTCAATTCCTTGCAATGACAGCAGAGACTAAGCTGCAACTCCCATCACAGTTTTTAGAAGGTGTAGGAATAACTGAAGGAAACTAGCAGAAAACTTAAAATGAGACTAGAGATGGCTGTGCTTTGAATCTACAGGCTCAGTCCCCTCCACAGGAAGTTTACATTCTGCCGCCCCCCTAGTTATTCTCAGAGTTGAGCTACCCCCAAAACCTGGCCCCATGTGTCAAGTGGGAAGGGCCAGCTTACCTCCCTCCAGGAGAAATCATCTCAAACCTCTCTCTTTTAATAAAAGTCTGAGTCTCAACCTCGGGGAAACTCCAAGTGCGGGAAGTGGTTTCCTCCTCAGCTCTCTTCTATCCTGGGGTTTGCTTTGTTCCAGGATGACTGACAGTAGAAGCTATTCTCGTGATTGCCCTCTGTCAGTGCCTGAGTCTAACCTCTCCACCTCTCTTCCCCGTTCCCTATAGTACTGCCTTTTAAAGGCTCTGTGCTCAGCCTTCTTTTGGACTTCTTGCATTCCAGTTATTTATATTCATATATTCTCTCAGCTTTAATGAGCATCTCAGTGTAAATGGCTCTGAATCCACCCCATCTAGCCCTGACTTGTCCTCATAGTCTCCCACAGTGTGATATAATGAAAAGACCACAGAAGATGGCATCAAAAATCCTGAGTGCTAGGGCTGAAAAAATCAGTTCCAGGACTTACCTAGGCAGTCTTTCTTCCCCACAATTTGTCAGAAAGAGTCCCTGGTTTTCCTAGGAGCAGGAAACACCTTTGAAGGACTTCCACAATGTCCCCACCCCTAGTCCTTACTAGGGAAGCCCAACCTGGCAAATATATAAATAGACACCTTGCAGCTTCCTGCTCCAGCCATCTCTTTTCTCCCTCCAAAATGGACAAGTCCCTCCTGCGAGGACTCCCCATCCTGCTCTGCTGTTTTGGAGGTGAGTCCCTATGGTTGATGGTGAGATGTGTCCAGGATCTTTGAATGCGTTGGGGTTCCCATGACAGAGGTTCTCTTATGAGAGCCATGCGATAACAGAAGCTGTCATTCTAATGCCACGACTTTGATCCACAATGCGTCTTGTCTCTGTGACCTTCACCAAAGTCTTATTCTCCCCTTAAAAAGGAAATGGGTGGATTATAAAGGAATTGAGAGGATTTTCATAGAAGTTGTGAGATGAGATTTGAAAAATGAGGTCTGCAGAGAGTGTATTTTTTTTTCCAACAGTACTGTCTGGGGCATTTTCAGACAATGAGCACTTAGGTGAGTAGAAATGGATCAGTGGTGTGGGAAGGGGAATGTTGGGTGGGGAGAGATGAGGGACAGGAGGAGCACTGAGCATTGAAGAGAGACCTTGAATTTCAACACCTAGCACTTTCTTCCAGCAGGATGAGGCTGGGATGGGTGCTGATTTTAAGTTTGACAACAAAACAAAACACAAGGACATGAGCAGAGTTGACTTGGCTAAGGATGAGTGTATTAGGAGCCAGGAAAAGGGAACGGGGAAGTGGTATGTTGATTTCATAGGTACTAGCTGGCCAGATCCAAAGTGCAGTGATTTCATGAATTTGAGACACTGTCCCCCATTGTCAGCTTCCAGGAGCACATGGGTGAGAAGGCCACACGGGCCAGCTAAAAAGAAGGGAGTGAGGCACATGTACAGAACAAGCGCGGTCTGTGCAGTGCCCTAAGGGACGGGGAGGGGGTCCGAGAGGCCTCTGGAGGTGGGGAGGACTGAAAGGAGCGAGAGGCGCGGAGATTCCGTGAGACAGGTGACTAGGCTTTGGAGGGACAGAAGGGCCTCGAGCGGCTCCAGATTAAGGGTCCAGGATGGGCCCCCTGTGTTAGGAGGATTACAGTGGCCCTACGTAAGGGTAAATCGCAGAGAAAATTGCTGCTACGTCTTCTTTCTCTTCGCCAGCACAGCCCGTGAACTGTATGTTGAGGAGGACCATATCCCCAGTGAGTATGAGGAGGGCACGGTCTGATGATCTCAGTTTTGATTTTGCTCCTCTTTTCCTTACCCTTCTACCTGTTTTTCGGACTAAAACTCCTGTGGCCGTAAACTCTAGTCCCTCTCTTGGCTCAGCCTATTTGAATAGAGGCAGATGACTGCGCTTAATGAGTCTTTGGCAAAGCCCTCCGGGCTCCAAGCAGACTTCAGATTCGAAAGGGGAGGTGGGCCCTTTCATGGCAGTGTGAGGTCTGCTCTCACTTCTGTCTCCCTCCTCTCTGGCCCAAACTGTAGAAATTATTCAGTGTAGGATGTGCCACCTCCAGTTTCCAGGAGAGAAGTGTTCCAGAGGCAGAGGAGTGTGCACTGCAGCACCAGAAGAGGCTTGCACAACTGGGAGGATTTTCAGAAGTAAGTTGTGGGTTGAGGGAAGGAGGAGGAGGCAGAGGAAGCAGACAGGGGCGTATTAGCTGTAGTAAAAGAGGGGACTTTGCTTCACCCCAGGGAGTCTTGGCCCTGGGATGACTGGTATCTCTACCCCATCACGTGCCATAATGAAAAATAGACAGAGGTGGTCACTAAGGCGGGGGGGGGTGTCTGTAGCTATGGGATCAGTGTTTTGAGATGCCCGAATGAACAGGGGAGACTGAATTGAAGGGGAAGGAGAGACACAATAGGGCCGGTGGGGAACAGCAGGATGTTGGCGTGGGGAGGGCAGCTCTTTGTCTTTGTCCCTGCCTGGACTTCCTTGTGGGTAGTTTTAAACTGTGAAATAAAGGGACCAGTGTCAGCAATAGATATTGGCTAAAGGACCCTTGATGGGTAAGACTAAACATCATGATTTCTCTGCTTTCCTACCCTTTGTGCTGAGCAATCCCGTCATATTTCTGTCCCTTACTTAAACCAGTGTTAAGATTCACGGTGGAAACATCCAGCTTGGGCAGTCCTTGAATTGCTGCTGTCGTTACCTCCGCACACCCAGGAATTTTTTTTTTTTAACTACTCTGCTATTGCGTTTCTTTTGGGAAGCCCCCATATTGCAGCATCTTCCAATTCTTCACATTTGAATAACTGAGCCTTGAACTGCACAAAGGTGGTTTTTATATGCCGATGTGGGCCGGAAAGAAGTTTTTTGGTTTGTTTGGTTGTTTTTGTTTTTACAGAAACCTTTTTGCTGATCTGTTTCTCCTCCCTTCCGCAGACGATGGTACCCCCTGGTTAACCTTCAGGGGCTGCCTAGAGAACTGTGCTAATGTGGACAATATAAAATGGAGCATCTACCTGGTAAACTTCAGGTGCTGCAGGAGCCATGACTTGTGCAATGAAAACCTCTAGAAACTGCTGGTCCTTCTTCGGCACCAATCTCTGGGTGATGTTGTTGGCACCAGCTCTTCACGATGATTTCCTTAAAAACCACACTTCAGATTGCAAACACGTGGCTCTGCCTTCTGCACGTGTAAGAAGCAGCCCTCTCTTTTTCTAGATTCTCTGCGTTGGCCCCTGAGCGGGTGAAACACCTCGAGTGCAAGATCAGCATGTCCTGCAGGTTGTTGCAAAGCCTAGTGCTTTCACTGGGTACCCAGGTTGCTTCGGGAAAGGAAGAAGAGTATGGGCCACTTATTTTCTCTGCTCCTTGGCTTCCTTCCGTAGCAGAATATTTTCATTTTTTTTTCTCTCTGTACTGTTCTTCTAATCTCACTCCAACTAAAGCATGTAGCCCTGGTCTCATGAGGAGGGATGGGGTAATGTGAAAAAAGATGACTTGAGTCTTGTTAAATTTTGTTCATGAATGCTATTCCCAGAGTGAGGAGAAGGGCAGCACGTAGAAAGAAGTGTGTACCAGGCCCATGAAGGGAGAGGGATTTTTCTGCCTTGTAGAATGAGACTCTCTTTAGGGTTGGGGGTTAGAGAAGAAGAGGAAAAGGCATCTCTGGAATTCCAGAGACAGTGCTTGCACTCTACTTCCCTGGGAAACTCACAGGAAGTCGTCAACCCTTAAACAGGCAAAAGCTGTAGGATGTTTCCAAGGGGATGAGACCAGAGCAGCCAGATAAATATTCCCATACCTGAAGCACTGCATGGAGGAAGCTGAGCTCTGTGGGGTCTGAGGGAGTCACGTGGGTCTGGCCACTAGACATCTCGATAGCAGCCTCTGTGGAGAGTTGTCCCCATGACCAGATGCCTTTCCCCACCCCTCCATCTCACACACACTCAGGTCTTCCACTTGTTCAGTTCCAGCAGCCTGGGGAAAACAGAAGTTGGAAAATGTACGCTCACAAGAATTGAGACTGATTCCTAACCAACTGGTAGGATGAGATCTGAAAGGGGTGATTAATTAATATTACAAAAATATCGTAAAGAAATTTATACTTCCTCCATACCCATATTGTGTTTTCTTCTTTCTCTCCTCTCCAAACCCCTCCTTAATTTCTTCAACAAACATTTCTTTTAAAATTCCCATGTTTCAGGCACTAGTAGACCTTAGGATATAGTAGTCATGATTCCTGTCCTCATGGTATCTCAGACAAGAATGAAGATATATTTAAAGAGTTAACTAAACATGCAAGCTGAAACAAAATAATAAAAAAAAAAGAAGCAGGTGGGAATATTTGGTATAAAGTATAACAAATCAGAAAACCCCATAATAGATGAAATATTAGATGTATTAAAAAAGAAAAAAGATGAGCAAGGAATTAGGCAGTTGGAAGATCAGAATGAGGAACTCTCTGAGAATATCATAAGAAAGAAGACATAGAAAATATGACCATAAAATAGAATGGGTTACAGAATACAAACCTGAGAAATAAGGAAAAACGTAAGTTGAACAGAAGTAAAACAGAAGTTAGACTATCAAAGATAACAAACCTTTAAGTACTTCCCAGTAAGAAAGAGCAGGAAAAGCATAAAGGGAGAGAGAATAAATGCCAAAATCCTTCAAGTGTCTTAACAAAGAAACTTAAAACACTGTATAAATTCAGCAAAAGTCTTGTCTCAGTGTTATTTCTGGCATAGCAGATTGTGAACTAAGATAGCCCTTTTCGTGGAAGAGTGCAACACTCTTTGAAGTCAAGATTCTTAAAAGAATCATTTGGTAAGGAAAAAGGATAACAAAAAAAAATTTTTTTTACAACTTTCTCCCCCTGGATAGAAGAGTAAGAATGATACCTTGTGAATGTTCTCAGTGTGCTTACTTATCCGAACCTGCTGTGTGGCAAAAGATAATTTTGTGTTTTATGCAACTATAGAATATTTTCCCCATTTTTATCTTTCTGAGGTTCTTTTGATTAATCTAGTATTTTTCATTTTATCTTCTCTATTAGCTTTTAAATTATACATTCTTTAATAATTTTTTAATAGTTATGCATACTTACCTGTTTACAGTCTACCTTAAATTAGTATATTTACCACCTTATTAGCAACACAAGAGTATAGGAATTTGATTCCATTTATTCCCTTCTGGTCTTTTTTTTTATCGAAGTATAGTCAGATTACAATGTTGTGTCAATTTCTGATGTGCAGCATAATGTCTCAGTCAGACAGATACATGCATATATTCTTTTTCATATTCTTTTTCATTATAGGTTATTACAGGATATTGAATATAGTTTCCTGTGCTATACAGTAGAGACTTGTTTATTTATTTTATATGTAGTGGTGTGTATCTGCAAATTTCAGACTTTCAACTTATCCTTTCCCACCTGCTTTCCCCCTGGGTAACCATAAGCTTGTTTTCTATGTCTGTGAGTCTGTTTCTGTTTTGTAAATAAGTCCATCTGTGTCTTTTTTTCAGATTCCACATTTAGGTGGTATCATACGGTGTTTTTCTTTCTCCTTCTGGTTTACTTCACTTAGAATGATGATCTCCAGTTCCATCTATGTTGTAGCAAAGGGCGTTAGTTTGCTCTTTTTAATGGCTGAGTAGTATTCCATTGTATAAATATACCATACCTTCTTTATCCAGTCATCTGTTGATGGACATCTAGGTTGCTTTT